AAAACGGTCCCTCTAGCTGCCCCTGTGTTGAGAACAGACTGCAGGGGGCAAGAATGGGAACGCAGAGACCAGTCAGGAGGGTGCTGAAACAGGCAAAAGACATGCCAGCACCAGGGTGGCAGCAGTGGGGATGATAAGTTCTGAGGTTATGGATATATTTTGCAGAGATAGCCAATGGCATCACTGAGGTGAAATCTGAAAGAAAGAAGTTAAAAATAGGGGAGCCTGGGTGGCTCAGTGGGTTAAAGCCTCTGCCTTCGGCTCAGGTCGCGGTCCCAGGGTCCCGAGATCGAGCCCCACATCAGGCTCTCTGCTCAGTGGGGAGCCTGCTTCCCCTCTCTCTGCCTGCCTCTCTGCCTACTTGTGATCTCCGTCTGTCAAATAAATAAATAAATAAAATCTTTAAGAAAAAAAAAAAAAGAAGTTAAAAATAATCCCTGAAGTGAAACTACCCTGTACGATACTGTAATGGTGAATAACAAGACATTAAGGATTTGTCAAAACCCACAGAACTTTACAGCACAAGAGTAAACTTTAATGTATACAAATATTTTTTAAAAAAATCATTTAGGAGGTCAGGGTATCCCAGGATGGAACACAGAATGTGACATTCTTTTTTTTTTAATTTTTTATTAACATATATTATTAGCCCCAGGGGTACAGGTCAGAATGTGACATTCTGAATCTAAATGTATTACAAATGTTTTAAACAACTTCACTGAAAGGGCAAGGGGAATCAGGTGCAGATCTCAGTAACTTTGGCAATGAGTAGAGTCTGTAGGACTAAAGGTAAAAGGCACTGCACATGTACGGTATTCTCTAGTTGATAAAGTTACTTCCCACAGGCAGCAGAGGTTAACAATTCTGAAACTACTATATATGTATACTGAAATTGAACAACTGAGTAAATGGATGGTAGATGGTGGGAGCTAGATTAGTCACAGATGGAGTGAGGTTACAGATCAGCCAGAGGAGGTGAGAATGGTCCATGTGGAATGATGAGAGTTGCAGATATGAACTCATATTTAGCTTAATATAGATACAGGTGGCTACACAAAGAAATATTACGCATATAAATACAGGTTAGTATACACACATCTGTAGCTTGCACTGAGGGTCTAGAAGCATGGGCATCCCAGTAGCAACGATCGCATCTAACAACCAAGTCTTGGCATTCTCCAATAAAAGGAAGCAAGGCTGCTTGGAGAAAAGGGTTTTTTTTTTTTTCTTTTAAAGATTTTATTTATTTATTTGATGGACGGAGATCACAAGTGGGCAGAGAAGCAGGCAGAGAGAGCAGGGGAAGCAGGCTCCCCACCGAGCAGAGAGCCCGACACAGGGCTCGATCCCAGGACCCTGGGATCATGACCTGAGCCCAAGGCAGAGGCTTTAACCTGATGAGCCACCCAGTGCCCCTGGAGAAATGTTTAATTCTAGGACTGAGGCATGAAACATACAAGATGAGCCTGGAACATAAAGTGTTAAAAAAAAAAAAAATGGGTCACCTGGGTGGCTTAGCGGGTTAAGCTGCTGCCTTTGGCTCAGGTCATGATCTCAGGGTCCTGGGATTGAGCCCCATGTCAGGCTCTGTGCTCTGCAGGAAGCCTGCTTCCTTCTCTCGTGTTCTGTCTGTGCTCTCCCTCTCTTTCTCTCAAATAAATAAAATCTTAAAAAAAAAGAAAAAAAAAAAACCACCACCACATTCGCTGGGGCATGCCAAAGGGATAGAGGAATGCCCAATGGCCAAAGCTGGAACATTTTGAGCAATAATATATAGTATTACTGGATTATAACCCAAAGTATGAAAATAAATATCTAAGCCATACTGATATAAATAACTGAATAGGTAAATAAATAAACAGAAGAGCATTGACAAATTTCTCATGGAGAATGGCACATAATTTATGTAGATACTCTGCCTTTAAGTGTGAAGCATGATTCCACACTCTTAAGTGTGGGCTGTAATGACTCTCTTCCATGACTACAATATGGAAAAGGGGAGTAAGGGAAGTAATTTTACAGTGGAAAAACTTGACTACTTCAAGCTAGTGATCCAAGTTAACTTCAAGTGACAACTTATATTGATAGTATGTACCCTGGATGCGATGTGATGAGAATGGACTTTACTCTGTGGTTTTCCTCCCCAAAACCCCTCTTACCTAATCACGTGAAGAAAAAAAAAAAATCAGACAAATCTCAACTGAGGATCATTTTACAAAGTATCTAACAATACTCCAAACTATCAAGCTGCTCTAACAAGGAAAGTCTGGGAAGCTCTCAGGGTCAAGAGGAACCTAAGGAGACATGAGGACTAAAAGTAATACAGTATCCAGGATAGGATACTGGAACACAAAAAGGACACTGGGGGAAACTGAACCAAATGCGAATAAATCATGGACTTTAGCTAACATTAACTTACCAATATTGGTTCACTATGCTAAACACGCATTGTGCACCTAACTAGGCGCTTTGCATTCACTATCTCATTCAATCTCAGATTAAATGGCCTATGCGCCCATTTTACAGAGGAGGAAACTGAGAACCAGGCAGGCAACCAGAGATGGCCCACGACTACCCAGCACTATGAGGCCCACTCAGGAGTCCCAACTCCGACCAGAATGACCCCGGAGCCTGGGCTTCTCCTAACGCTCCGCGGGTGGGAGGAAAGGCCAGGTCCGGGCAGCGAGGGCAGGGTTCTGGCCCAAGCTCCAAACGAACGCACGGGGCGGCACCAAGGGGCTCAAATTCCCCTCTGCAAGTAACTTCCTGACAAGCGCCCCGGGAAGTTATTGTCGTCCGGTGCAGGGCGTCCCGGGGGCCAGCGGAGCAGCGCGGCCGGAACGAGCCCGGCTGGCGCCCGAGCCCAACCCCCTCTCCGTTCCCACAGCCCGGTCCACTCCGCCCCTCCCCGAAGCCCGAGCCCCGCCGCCGCGCCGCCGCACTCACCTCCCGCGCCGCCGGGCCGCTCCCCCGGAAGTGGTTCTCCGCGGAGGATCCCGGAAGTGACGCACTAAGCAGCCCGCGGTCTCCGCTCCTCCCGCGTTGCCAGGGTTCCGGCCTTTGTCCCAACTCAGTGGGTTTGAGCAGGAGGGGGAGCCCTGGAGAAGCGGGATACAGACCTCCCCGGATTCCCTAAGCCCCTTTGTCTGGACACATTTCAGCAGTCGTTCATAAACGTCTATAGGCGCTTTAATTCTATGCTAGAAGCTGAACCAGAAACTTACAAAGAGGGGAGAGGAACAAGAATTCTTAGCATTCAAACAAGAGCCCATTATTAGAATTCGCTCAAACCTTTCACGGGGTAGTGAGCTGGAGCCCCACGACAGGCATAGAAGCTACTTAAAAAAAAAAAAAATCACTGAGTGCATCCTTTATCCCCTGTGCTGGTTAGTGGAGATACAATGAAATTGTGAAATAATAAATGTTACTGCTTTAAGCTCCTACTTACGGGGTTATTTGTTATATAGCATATATAGATAACTAATATACAGAAGATCAAAGAGGAGGAGTTGGGTGGTAGCGATCAAAAAAAAGAATTGAGACCTAATCTTACCCTCAAAGAACTCACTCTTAGAAGACACTAAAATAATTGTAATTGAGGCACACCTGGGTGGCCCAATGGATTCAGCGTTGGCCTTTGGCTCCTGGGGTGGTCCTGGGGTCCTGGGATAGGCCACTTCCTGCAGGGTCTTAGGCTCCCTGCTCAGCGGGGAGTCAGCTTCTCCCTTTGCTCCTCCTCTTGCTGGTGATCTCCATCTCTCTCTCCTCAAATAAATAAATGAATAAGATTCTTAAATAAATAAATAAGGGGCACCTGGGTGGTTCAGTCAGTTAGGCATCTGCCTTCTGCTGAGGTAGTGATCTTGAGGTCCTGGGATCAATCCTCCAACCACCCCCAATCCGGCTTCCTGCTCTGTGGGGAGTCTACTTCTCCCTCTGCCCCTGCTCTCTCTCTCTAATAAAATCTTTTTAAGATTAATTAATTTAATAATTATAATTCAGACAACACCCACTAACTCCATACTATGTGAGGTGGAATGGAGGATACAAGAATGTAACAATGTATTTATTTGACAGATATTTATGGAGTCTCTGCCCTAGATTTCCATGTACTATGGAACTGGGAGGACAATGGCAGGTAGGTGGGTCCCTACCCCCACTGTGTTTACAGAGTAACAGTTACTATCTGACACCTCCATTAATCAATCACACAGAGAAATCTATATGAATCAGGAGATGTGTTGGGAAGCAGGAGAAACCATGAGAGAATAAATAACATGGGAGATACAATCAAGACAGGGTGATCAGGCAAGGCCTCTCTGTGGAGGTAATATTTAAGCTAAGAAATAAAGAATGAGTAGGATTTTGCCAGGCAAAGAAAAGGAAGAAAGAGCACGGTGGTATGTGAAAAGGCTCTGGGAAAGGCGTGGAGCATAAGAAGGGGAGAGAAGCTGAAGCCTGAAGGGTACAGATATGTAGGACAAGAGTTGGTACTTGCCCTTAAAGGGGCTCACTGTGGGGGTGCCTGGGTGGCTCAGTGGGTTAAACCTCTGCCTTTGGCTCAGGTCATGATCTCAGGGTTCTGGGATTGAGCCCCTCGCCAAAGGCTCAGCAGGGAGCCTGCTTCACCCTCTTTCTCTGCCTGCCTCTCTGCCTACTTGTGATCTCTCTCTCTCTCTCTGTCAAATAAATAAATAAAGTCTGTTTTTAAAAAGGGGGGGACTCACTGTGGGTTGTGGATGAGGAGGGTCATAGGAGACAGAGATGTTTTATATGTTGAACTGTGTCCCTCCCCAAAAAAGCTACGCTGGAGTCCCAAACCCCAGTAGCTCAAAATATCATCATACATGGAGACCATATAGGGTATTTACGGAGGTAATCACATTAAAATGAAGTGATTAAGACATGCATTAATCTGACCGGTGTCCTTATTTAAAGGGGAAATTTGGACACAGATCTACACCCAGGAAGCACACCAAGTGAAGACAGAGATCAGAATGATGCTTCTACAAGCATCATTGTAGAAGCTTCTACAATCTTCTACAAAGATTGCCAGTAAGCCACTGGAAGCTTGGGAAAAGCCACGAGGCTGATTCTCCCTTGCAGCCCTCAGCTTTGATTTCAGATTCCTAGCCTCCAGAGCTGTGAGAAAAGAAATATGTATTGTTTAAGCCACCCAAATTTGTGCTGTATTTTTAGGGCAGCTCTAGCCAACTAATACAGATGTGCAGGTGCTTTGAAACCTGTTACTCTGTATCCAAGGGTAAAAAATTCCCAGTGCAGCTGCTGCAGGCATAACTGCTTGCTCACTCTCTGGAAGCTCCTGGAAGGTACCAGTTGAGTCTTGCTCATCTTTATGTCCTGCCAGGGCTCCATTAGCACCACAGCAAGGGGAGGAGCTCTGTGCCATGCTTGCTCCTATCCATAATATCTATGCAAGGCACACTGCTTGCACCATGAAAGAAAACGTTGAAAACGATATGGTTTCTGCTCTGAAAAAAAAATTTCTAAACTGGGTGAACACATGACAGTGTAAACTGCTTCGTAATTATTAATTACAGCTGCCATTGATTGCATATTCACTAAGTGCCAAGCACTTGACATATATCAATATTCTCCTGCCAACCATTTTATAAGGCAGCTGTAATTACTCTCATTTACAAGTGAAGAAACCTAGGGCTGGAGAAGTTAGGCAACTTCCCAAAGCCTCACAGAGACTACGTGCATAACCAGTGAGTGCACTACCCAGTCAACCTGGGCAAGCCAGATGAGCTCCCCAGGAAGAGAGAAAGCATCCAAAGGGACTGAAGTATCTGAGAAGATTTCCTTAGGGAAGCAGTTTAATGTGTGTCCCAGATAATGGGCTGGGTTGAATACAGGAAAAGGAAAGTTGAGGTGCAAGATGTGCTTTTCTACCTCTAAGCCTTTTGCTTTGTTGGTCTCTTTGCCTGGAATGCTCGCCTCTCCTGGCTTTGCACAAACCAGACTCATTTTCATCCCTCAGGGCTCAGCCCAAATACCATCTTTTCAGAAAGGGCTTCCCTGACCACTCTTTCAAGCTGGTTGTTTTTCCTAAAGATGGCTCCTGCGGGGTCCATACGATAGGCTTTTCTGCCCATGACCACTTTAACCAACAGCGTATTGCGGGAGAGTCTGTGTCAGCCTCAGGCACGGCACTTACCTGGCCTGAAAGTCAGCCATGAAAGAAGGGCGACTAGTACAAGAGGTGTCTCAGTGGCTCAGTTGGTTAAGAGTCTGCCTTCAATTCAGGTCATGATCCCAGGGTCCTGGGATCAAATCCCATAGCAGGCTCCCTGTTCAGCGGGGAGACTACTTCTCCCTCTTCCTCTATACCTCTTTCTCCTTGTGCTTGCTCTCTCTCTCTCTCTCTCTCTCTCTCTTAAATAAATAAAATCTTTTAAAAGAAGGAGGACGAAGAGGAGGGGGAGGAGGGGAGGAAAGGAGGAGAGGGAGGACAGGGAGGAGGGGGAGAGGAAAGGAGAGGGGCCGGGGGAGGGGAAGGGAAGGGACAGGGGGAGAGGGAGAGGGATGGGAAGAGGAGAGAGGGAGAGAAGGGGGAGGGGGAGAACGGGAAGGAGGAGGAAGAGGAGGGAGAGGAGGGGGGGAGGAAGAGGAGGAGGAGTGGGGGGAGGAGGAGGAGGAAGACTAGCCCAAGATCAGTGAGCTGTGAGAAGTGCAAACCACCTGGGAGGAAGAGAATCAAAGAGCATCAGACACCGGATGAGGGAGTGAAGAAGCCATCTGGGAGAGGTGGAGAAATGGATAGATATAAGATAAAGCCATGATGGTAAAATGTTAAGTGTACAATCTAGGTGGTTAGTATAATGTTTGCCATACAATCCTTTCGACTTCATGTATTTGAATTATTCACTACAAAGTTTTGGGCAAAAGAGAAACCGCCTTGGAAGTGGATTCTCCAACCCCGAACATTTCCACTCACATCGCATGGAGCAGAGAAGAAGCTCCCAGCCCAGCCTTTTCCAAATTCCTGGCCCCCAAAATCATGAGCTAAATAGATGAGTACTTTAAGCCACTAATTTTGGAGGTATAGATAACAGAAATTCTCTAAGGGGATGTCTCTTACTTTATTGCACAGCTGCCTGCCCATTTCTTGTACAGCATTACCACAGTCTGCTTATTCCTCATCAGTCTCTCCCCCAGTAGAGTGTAACTTCTGTTTCCTCTGCTCCTTCCTCCCAGCACGACTGCCTGACCCGTGGAGGTACATAAGTGAATGTTTGTTGAGTGACAACTAAGCCCACAAAAGGGGCCCTTCTGAAAAGTAACGAGAGAGAATACAGAATTCATGGAGTTGGTGGTGGGGGTGGGGACTGGCATTTGTCAGTTGGACTACCCATCTTCCATTTGTCAGAATCTCAAGAAACGGGAAAAGGGAGCCCCTTCTCCACTCTCGCAGACGGAAGAGGTAAACACACCCTCACCTCTGTTCCTGCTGGAGCATAGATGCTGGATATACTCATGACCTGTCAGAATCCCCCACCCCAGACTGAAACCAGAAGCAGAAATTCCAGCTGTAAAGGTCAGTCAGAGACAGTAGCAAGAACAGAGTAGGGGCCCTTATTCAGAGCAGGTGGTTTTAGGGGTAGGGTGCTAGCCACCTGGCTTTGTTGGGGGATGGGGGGTCCCTGCCTGAGCCCAGTTCTGCAGCGTCCCATCCCTTCCTTCTGCCTTTGGTTCAGCACAGGTGTGCAACCAAGAAGCTAAATAAATGAATCCTGAGTGTGGCAGAGCCTGATAAATTCAGGACACAGGATCGAAACAAGGGTGGTCTTTCCTCCAGGTGATCTGAACATCTTCTGTGTTCCAGAAAGGTCAGGGACACATTTCTCTCAGAGGTGGCAGGGTCCAAACAGCAGTGGAGACTCATCACATCCCGAACTCCTTCTCTGGGCCTCCAGGAGCATTATAGCTGGTAACCAACTTTGATTGACAAGACCCGATTGAACAAGACCTGTTCTTCTCTTGCTTTTTACAAGGTATGAACTCAGGACAGGAGTCCACTCTCAGGTGTCTGAGTCCTATTCCTGTGTTCTAGGATCTCCCAGGAGCAGGTCTGCTGCAAGGAGGAGACGTTCACATTCCAATGCTGGGCTCATTAGAGAGGTCAGCAAAGAGAATTTCCATCAGAAGATGGATTACATGTCAACGTCAACTTGCTCTTCCCAGGAAAATCCAAACACTCTCACCTGTTCTGGAGACCCAAGATCTTCCACAGTCTTGAAACCTGAAAAGCTTTATTCAGCAGACATTCATTGAGGGCCATTTGTATGTCAGGTAAACACTAGGGACAAGATCTTGGGCTCTGGTGGTGGAGAGACATAGAAACAAATGAATACAATAGGATATTTTGAGTTCTACAAAAGAAGAATGAACCTAGGAGAAGCATCAGACTCTGCCTTTGGCAATCACGGAAGGTGCCCAGGAGTAGGTGACATTCACTCTCCAGGAGGAGATTATAGCAGAAGCAAAAGTCCAAGCCAGGGCTCGTACTTGCAGTTCCCCCCAAGGAGTGAGTCCAGAACTTCATCTCTCTGAAATGCCTCAGTCATAGAAGCAGCACAAACTTCACAGGCATCTAGCATCTGGATGATATTAATTACCTCCATGTTTATTAAGAGCCCCATTAAACTTGACTCTAACCAACAGCACAGTTGGCTCTCTGGGTTAAATCCACACTAAATATTCAATTACACACAGCATAGGCAGAATCGTATTTGGCAGGGATTAGTTCCCTTGTCCTGTGAAGGCACTTTTCCAGCTGAATAATAATGGTGTCTTTTAATTGTGTGATATCTTCCTCTTGAGAGACTTTAAGCCAGAACATCTCCTCAAAGGGAGACAGAAACTGGGTGTCATCATCTCCATTTTGTAGTTGGATGAACTCAGTAAAGAGGTCTGGCACTCGCCACAGAAGCTGGAATCCTACTTCTCTTTCAGGGCCCAGCTCAAATGCCCTCCTCTTTGAAGAGTTTTCAGTTCCCTTGTCACAATTTTCCTGCAGGACGTGGAATTGAAAGAAGCTGAGAGAAATGACGAAGCTCTTTCTCTGTACAGAGACAGAGAGCCCTGTGCTGGGTGGTTGGCCTGCATTCACTCACTCGATCACCCCCAGCGCGCCCCCACCCCCACCGCCGAGGGAGTGTTTCCACGTCACAGTTGAGGAAACAGAGACATAGAGAAGTCAAGAGATGGGTCTTGGGCTGCACAGCTAAGAAGTATCAGGATCAGGATTCAAAGCCAGGCCTCTGAGCCCATTGTCTTAACCACACACTATCCTGGCCCATTTGATCTTTTATTCAACAAGTATTTATTGAGCACCTACTGTATACCCATGGCTTGCTGGGGATGCTAAGAGTATAATACTTGCTAGGGATGCAGGAAAACATCGTCCGTCCCTGTCTAGCAGGGAAGACAAATTTAAAATCCTTCCACAAACAATTATCTAATTACACATCGGTTATCAGGCAATGTTAGCAGAACGTAACTCAACTGGATAAGACACTTAGCAGGGTGAAAAAAGAAATCTGGTGCTTGGATGGCTCCTTCTTTTCTGTAATTCAGGGATTAGTCAGCTCTTCTTTTTTTTTTTTAGATTCTGTAGCCGAGCAATGCCTAAAGATGCCCACAATTTCTTTGGGAATATCCACAGATCACTTCCCTTTCCTAATCACAGCTTTCCCAGCTGTAAAATGGGAATGAAAAATCAGAAACGACTGGAAGCAACCCAAATACCCATCAACAGGGGACAGTTTACATAAATGATGGTACATTTACACCATGGAATTCTCAACCATTAAGAAACATGAGACAACCCAGAAATGCTAGAGATGGATCGCTAAGACATCACTGAGTAAAAGAATAAGGCACAGGATGGTGGGTACAGAATGCTGTCAATTGTGTGCATAAAAAAGGGGATAAAGGAACATGCTTATCTGTGCATGGGCTATCCCAGCAAAGATGCACAAGAAACAGGTAATGGGCCACACCCCTCTGCCCCTCCTGCTCCCCCCTTCACCTACCAGGCAGGGCACCCGGACACCAGGGATCATGGGGAGACCTCCTCTTAATGTATGACATTTTTACCTTTTGAATTTTGC